CATCGTTCCCAGCATTAGGCTCTTCTCAAGAGAGTCCTTTATTCTCATCAGGTGGCCAAAGTATTTTGAGTGTCCTCTTCAGGATCTGGCCTTCTAAAGAGCAGTCAGGGTTGATCTCCTCTAGGACTGACCGGTTGGATGGCCTTGCAGTCCAAGGGACTCAAAGCAGGAGTCTTCTCGAGCACCATCGTTCAAAGGCCTCCATTCTTTGGCCCTCAGCCTTCCTTATGGTCCAACACTCACAGCCATCCATCGCAACCGGGAAAACCAGAGTCTTGACTAAACACACTTTTGTTGGCAGGGTGATGTCTCTGCTTTTTAATAGGCTCTCTAGATTTGCCACAGCTTCCCTCCCCAGAAGCAAGGGTCTTTTAATTTCTTGGCTAAAACTAAAGAACTAAAATTCACACTGGGATCTCTGAATTTGTGCAACAAGGGACACTCAATCATGTGGACAGATGTCATCCTCGTAGACAACTGCAGACAAATTGACACTTTGTGCAGAGAATTTATTGGACAACCCAAAATTCAAGAAACAAGCCACATTCAGATTTTTTTTTTTTATTTCAATAAAATGCCATACTCTACGTTCCTCTCTTTTGCAAAGTCCCCTTCTCAACTGAAAAAAAGAAACACCGCCTGTTAGGCTAAATTATATTTAGTGAACTTACTGAATTGCTTTCAAGTAAATGCATTCCACAAGCTGAAGGAATTTTGAGAATTATAATTCTGGCTTCCCTTATTATAATAAGGGAAGATTCCCCACTTCTTAAATTGCCATCCATCGTGAGCTTCTCAATACAGGCCAGATTTTTCATATATTCTGGACGCTGGATTTTAAGATCTACTTGTGGAGATAGGACAGCTGATGTACAGTTCTGCAAGATATTTTAACTCCTGGGAGTTTAGAAATATTTGGGCTCTTTCTGATCTGATGATGTATTAAACATGATGCCATATCCTTTTTAATATATGCAAAGTAGATCAGAGACGAACGCAGCCAATAATAAAATTTATTTACCGAACCATTTCTGCCAGCTCCCAAGGCTTCTTATGTTGCTTATGTTTAATTTCTCACTCTTGATTCTTAGCTCGGCTTGATTTTAAACAGTAAGGACATAACTTAAAAGGCATTCTTTTTTTTTTTTGGCCAAAATAATAAAAACTCTGTATCTTAAATCTGATTCCTTCTTGCACAGAATATTTCATTACAGGCCTAAATTATGAATGCTTACCATAATATCAGATTTCAGACAGAGAAAGACAAAGATACCATGATGTTGTACTTGATTTATTTTCATGATAAACCAATTAAAATACAAAAAAAGAGGAAACAGCTTCAAGAGGTCCCACAATTTAATTTTTTTTCCTTTTAAATACAAATTCACTCTGCAATACATGAATACGTATAACTTTGGAGCTCTAAACATAATAATCTTATTTGTATCTATAAAATATTGTTCTATGGAAATATCTTTTTCTTATGAAAAAAATCTTTTTGAGAAATTAAATTACATATTTACAATAGAAAAGGTACTTTGTAGAAATATTTTAATCTCAAAATACTTGGGTTAAGTCCCATATAGTTCTATTTTTCATTTCCTTATAAAAATAATTGCAAACAAAAAAAAAATCAGCACGTTTCTTCATGCCTCAAAAAGTTTTAAGTGGTTTGAAAAAATAATTGCACCTGTAGTGATGACTCCCGTTTTGGCGAGCCACATTATCAAAGATATTGTCCATCTTAGAATAGAAAATATATAGTAAATAGAATGCATAAGTGGTGGTAAAATATCTTGTTGATAGAAGGGAAATGCTTCTAATTTGCAAAACGATTTCTCACTGGGGCAAAAGGCAACTGAATGAAACGAAGATCTGATCGCCCATTGCTTTATATATCCATATAAAACAAAATATATTCTAAGTACATTGAGTAAAAAGATCTTTGGAATTTACTTAAAAAAAAAAAAGTCAGATAACGGCATGAAAAAAAACCAACGCCCTCCTGAAATTAGCTATTGCTTGAAAGCACTGATTACATTATTATGCAAGAGAAGACAAATAATACAGAAATTTAGAATTTTTGGACAGTGATCAAAAAAGAGAGAGAGAGAAAAGAAAAGATAAACTGCATGTTCCTTCATGCTTTGCCTGTTTTTTTTTTTCCAAAACATATAATATTTTATGCGGCGGAGGAAACCACAAAGCTGGAAATCAACTCTACAGCGTTTACTTCTAAAATACAATTCGAGAATTATTATTATTATTTTTTCTAAAAAAGGTAGCTTTATAATGCCTGGCTCTGGAATCAAAAGTTACATACACAATTGGTGGAGGCGTTTCAATCACATTCAGGAAAAAAGAGCAAAAGGATAACATTTGACTTTTCTTCTTGTTTACTCGTAAGGGCTGGGCAGCTGGAACTGTTCGCTTTCCTCTTTGATATGTACCGCGGGAGAAAACCCGTTGGAAGCGGACACCATGACGACAAACGGCTGTTGGTGGAAACTCGCCTCCAAGGGGGGGTCGTCCTCCCCCCCGAACGAATTTTCGGGTTCCAGTTTTACTGTCCCTTGCACCATGGCGGTTTTGGTTTCCGGGGCCTTGATTACCGAAGTGATGACGGCGTTGGAGGCGGGCTGGGGCGCTGCCCCATGGGAACCGCCGGGCGTAAAAGTTACTACGGAGGCGCCGGTGCTGAAAGACGGGGAGGGGGAGGAGGAGGAGGAGGCCACGTTGACCGTCCCGTTGCAAATTGTCTGGACGTTGCTGGTGAGGACTTGGTGGACCTGAGCTGGGCTGAAAACGATGGACGACGGAGGGGAGACCGACTTGGAGGACTGCAGAACTACGTTCTCCTTGAGGACAGTCATGGGCTGCGATGATGGGATGGCTTGTAGGATAAACTTCTGGGGTGTGGCCGAAGAATTCGGATCCGCGCTGGCGATCACAGTGGTTAAAGGCACTGTCTGGAGTGTTACGGTGTGCAGTTGCTGGTTTCCGGGGGAGACTACGACGGGAACCTGGCCTGAGGTTTGGATGGTCCTATGGAAGTAAGATAAATAAGGTAGGTCAGAAGTTCTGCCATTTTACACCTGGCTGTCAGTCTACGAGGAGGGCAGGGAGCCGAGTGGGATTGGGGGGGGGGGGGAGGAAGCTAACGACTCATCGTACAACTTCAAGGTCACCCATCTGGGAATGGCACGCAGCTCCGCACCGCCCAGTCTAGGGTTGAAGAGACTGTTCCCAAACTGTTTTCTTTGAATAGGATTGGACAACGGGGGAGACTAGCAATGGGAAGGGACAAAGAGGGGAATCTTTGGCGCGCACATCTCAGTTCTGGCTTTGCTATATTGTAATCCACTTGGCTTTTAGGAAAGTAAACTTTTCACATCGAAAGGAGTTGAGGGTCGTTCTTACTTAAGAAGACCTGGCCAGAACAGAATCCCGAGCGCTCCGGAACCCTGAAACAGAATCAAGGTTTATTCAGGCTGGGGCCTCAGCGCCAACTGAGTCCTGTTCAAGTCCAGCCGTGGGAGCGACTGCACCAAAGTGAGATGGAAGTCAAGAGCCGAGGTGGCGCAGTGGTTAGGGTGCAGTACTGCAGGCCACTTCAGCTGACTGTTATCTGCAGTTCAGGGGTTCTAATCTCACCGGCTCAAGGTTGACTCAGCCTTCCATCCTTCCGAGGTGGGTGAAATGAGGACCCTGATTGTTGTTACGATATGCTGACTCTGTAAACCGCTTAGAGAGGGCTGAAAGCCCTATGAAGCGGTATATAAGTCTAACTGCTATTGCTATTGCTAAATGCAAAAGAATAAATATTTGGATTAGA